TCAAATAAATTGAAATATTTTTAAATGTGTGTAATGAGCATTGGGTAATAGTTGTATTCTTAATATTATCTGTTGAAAACAATAATAACCCCCAATAATTGTAGAGAAAAGTGTTCAGTTTGATAAAAAATGGAAACATTCATCTAATTTAGTTCAAAGAAATAAATTTTGTATTGCTAACTAAATGGTTTTCTTGATATATAGAATATTCAACAAATATTTATCATATTAAATATATATTCATCTAAAATAAATATAAATTATATCTATTTATATATATATATATTAATACATACATCACCCCAAAAATAAAGGATGAAAGCGAATTTATAGCAACATTAAGATTTTCAAATTTTCCTGTTTATTATTCTAGTGTCCAAATTTTTACATCATGTTAAAATTTAGCACTTTTACTTCAATATGAAATTGCTATACCACAAAAAAAGTGTGTCAGGAATATTTTTTCATTATTTTACTAAACACAGTTGTAACTTGAAGCTAATATGCTCTTTTTAAAGTCATGATCAGATTAACTAGTGTCTTGTAATATGACTATTAGTTGGGAACAACTATTATCTATATTAATTTATAATATTAATTACTCTTACAGTTTCATTAAAAATCAACAACAACAACAAAAAGCAGCTTAACATGATTTCAGTAATAAGAGATTTGCTTTGTTAATCATAACTTGGGATGAGAGGGGCATGGGGGCCATAGCCCCTCACCAAAAGGCGTATAGTTTTGTTTGTTACCTTCCTTTATTTAGAAAAATTATTTAAATATTTATTTTTGTTAGAATTATGTAATTATTTAAAAAATTATATTGTGAAGTATCAAAAATAATATACAATATAATGACATATATTTATTGTTTAAAAATCTTTGATGCACTCTCCCCCTCCCAAAACGATTGTCTGGATCCATCCCTGCAGATGAATATTAAGTAAATGAAGAGTTTTGTCGTTCAGTGAATGAATCTGGATTTATCATACCTATTGAAAATGTTAATGCCAATAGTTTGTTTTTATTCTTACCTTTTGTCTTCAAAATCCTTTCGCGCCTGTTTGTATGATGATTTCACTTAATTAGAGCTTTGTTGCAATGTTTGTTATAGGAGTATGATTGGAAGCCAGTGGCTTCCCCAAGATGTATTGGAACATCGTTTGGTAGAACCACTTCATGAGTCTCAATATGCTGCATTTAAATTGGCTTTTGATCGCTTAGTTAGCCACCCATATTCCTATAGAGTTCGTGATTTCATTGAAGAATACCGTAAACCATTGGTTAATCAAGTTGCTCTTCAACAAATTCCTGAGGTAAGTAGTAATAAATTACGTATATTCCCATTCATGTGCACAAGAAAATAATATAATTTGTTTAAATTTTGTAAATATTAATGGCCGCTTCATTTTCTAACTTGTCAATATTCCTCCCATTCTTGCTTTGCTCCTCCCCCCTCTTTTTTCCCCTTCTCTCGCTTTGTCTTCTGCTTCTCCTGATAAAATGTTCAGTGTTCAAATATTCAGATATGCCTCTAAAATATAATGATCATGAAACAGTTCAGGATTTTTTCCCCTCCAGTGATTAGAGATTATGCAGTCATGTAAAAGTTGTGTATAAATATATACTTTTTTCTTACAAAGTACTGACACATTCATACATTTTTTTTTCAGCCTCAGTACGATGAGAATGGAAGGCCATATGTTACTACTACAAGTAAGTGATATTTTGTCAATGTTTTTTTTTTTTTCCTTCCTTTTTTCTTTTCTTTTTTTCTTTTTCCTCCTTAAACTATGGTAATGGGAGGAAAGGTATTGGAGCCACTTCAAGAATATGATATTGAATATACTGTTGGTATAGTATCTGTGTTTACGATTCCTTTGAGCAGTAACTTTGCACACACATGGTTTAAGGTATAGTGACGTTCCAAAGGTAGTAAAGATTGGTGGAGGTGAGGAGATACACACAGTTTTGTACCCAAAAATCAGAAGATCTGTGGGTGAATGGTGGATGGAGGTATGTGTCATCCATAACTCTGGCTGGTTAAAATCTTGTGAGCTGCCACTTAGTAAATGAGTCAG